AAGGCCCCTTTTTTTTCCTTTTCTTTTTTGCCGAGTTGGTGCTGTTATCTTCTCCGGAATTGACATCTGCAATATGGAAGGCTGTAGCAGGAGACAATTTTCTTTGGACACAAGAATGGTCCTTATATGGTATGACTAATACGCAGGTGGACTTTTCTTCAGGATGGGCTTACGTAGCTCTAGCCTGTCGTGGAGGGGTGATGGAAGCTCTGTGGAAGGCTCGTAATAAAGCGGCTTTTAAACAAGAAACAGTCTCTTTTGAAAACCAGATATCTCTGGTTAAATCTCTGATAAGGGAAGCAGTCCGGGTGTACTGGCAGGCGGCTCACTCACAGACTCGGAAAAACCGCTTTTGGTTTTCTCTGACTTGCCAGGGCCAAAAATAGTGGTTGGGTCTCAGGCCATACTCACACTAGCACCATGGTAAATGTATGCGGCCGCATTTACAGCCAGACGTGGATGTATCTTGCCGCAATTACATCAAAAAATAAACGAAAAAGTCCTACTGTGAGTATGCCCTCAATCTCTGCAGAAGGAAACTCGAACTTTGGTGACTGGCTTCACTCATAAGGACGGTAGACCTTCTGCTTAGGTCTCTTGGAAGATGCTTTGGTTAGTATAGGACGGTTTTTAGGCCTATTTTCAGCATAGTGTTAAAGCGAAAGTGGTTGTAGATTGAAAGGTTGCGGTGCCCTGTTACCCGAGCATGAAGGGGGTATGAGATCAAGTGAGTTCTGACTGTTCTGGTACGTCTGTTGAAGGGGGAATTCTGGATAGTAGGTTTTTTCAGTTTTGAGTCTTTTGACCCCCTGCTCATATAGTTTTCCAAGCCTTTCCAGATATTTTCAAAAATAAAAGGACTTAGTAACTGCTGATTGATTAACCTAGCAATAGGTAGGTAGGTCCACAGTTATTCATGGTTTCTTAAAATGCTCCTGTCAGTGAACTTCTTTTGTAGTTCTCAGATTGTTCTTAGCCGAAATTCTCAGATTGTCTTAAAATTCTCCTGAACTCTTTTTGTGGTTTTCAGATTGTTCTTAGCCAAATTCTCAGATTGTTCTTAGCCGAAGCCAAGTAATGGCCCTGGTATTCCAAATCCTTTGTATCATTTTATATGGGACGCTTTGTATCATTTTATATGGGACGCTGGGCCCGTTTCCCAGCACGTGTTGCTCCTCACGAATAGACTGGAGCACTTGTCCCAAAAAACAAACAAACAAATGTTGGTCGCTGAGGGATGAAGTGCTGTTGCTTAAACTTGCTTTGCAGTTTTATTTCCCTGAAGTCTTCCTACTCATATTTACCTTTCTTTCTGAATCTGGCTGTAGACTTAAACCACCAGTACTTCCTAGTGCCCGTTAACGCGCCACGTACGGGCTACTACAGGGGCGCCCCAATTCATCTGACTAGAAACATTTCTACTCTATTCTTTTCCGCGGCCTATAGCTGGGCCAAGTGCTGGTGGTTTAGGGTTTAGGGTTTATTTGTGCGAAGGGGTAAGGTGTGCCGTGGTTTGTAGGTCTGTAATTTTTGCCAATTCTGTTGTGTCAGCTATGTTCTGTTTTCTTTGTTCTCCGGGGGCAAGGTCCCACTTCCGCAAATTAGGAGATTTCGGCCGTTGATCTTTGCTATCTACCGTCAGTATCTCTTAATGCGTGCAAGTGGGACCTAGCCCCGGGTCCCTACGGGTCTCGTAATAGAGAAAGTGGGTAAGGCTCCCAGTGGTTCCTCTTCCGGGCTGACTGTGAGGACCCCGGCCTCCGATGGTTTTATGATAATATTAGCCTTGGGCACTGGGCCCATTTAAAAATAAAAAAATTAATAAAAATAAATAATAATAATAATAATAATAATAATAATAATAATAATAATAATAATTTCCATTTTGTTTTGTTTTTGTTTCGTTTTGTCTTGTTTTTTTTTTTTGTCTGTTTTTTAACAAGAATGGCCGTGGCTTTAGTGCACTTGTACGTGCTGGGGATAGTATACCAGATGGGATAATTGGTGGAGAGCCCCCACGCCGAGACCTTTTTCGTAAAGGGTGCCCAAACTTTTCCCGCTTGGTGAAAAGCGCCCACCTGCAACACAGGCCGTGGGGTGCAAGAATCTGGTGGCCGAGATTGGGTCCCCACCACTGGGCCCCTTCCGAGTCATACTGCATCCTGAACCTTCAGGCTGGGGGGACCGGATTCATTTTCCTGTAGGCGCTTTTCACCCAACAAGAAGAAAGGTTTGGGCGCCCTTCACCAGAAAGGTTTCCACGTGGGCGCTTAGATGTAAGACCACGAGAAAGCCGGAGCTTCGAGAGGAAAGACGGGGCTTCATGAGAGTGGGAAAAAAAAAAAAAAAAAAAAAAAGACGAAGAAGAAGGCCACGCGTACGTGCTTGTCTTTTGAGTGAAACGAAGAAGAACAACAACAAAGGAAAAAAAAACGGACAAACCTAGCACCTGCTAGCCTTCCTGCCTACCAGTTTTTTTTTTTTTTAAAAGCTGAGTACCAGTTGATGGAACTTGATGCTGCAGGAAGGATTCACAATGTGTGCTCTTTTTCTTTTTCCCCTTTTTCTTATTTTTGATTACAATCTTGATTTTTTGCATATTGGAAACAAATGAAAGCTTTTTTTTTTTTTTTTTTTTTTAAACCMCCSCTMCCTTTYSCMTWTKTGGGGCCAAAAAAAAAAAAARAAAAAAAAAAAAGGGGCCTCGGGCCTGAAATTCAAATTCGGCCGCCACACGCCGCCTATGAAAAATATCGACGGCGGCTTGGCGGCTATTTTTCAGGAGCAGGCTACCAGATAATGGCAGATATCCGCGGCCGGCATATGGGAATTTGGGAAAGGTAGTGGTGGTTTAATGAAAGTTCATTCTACCTAGTAGGGGAAACTACGCGGGACTCACAAAAACGACTTATAATTGCAGTATGTGCCAAGATACAGTTTGCAATTGCAGTTCGGGCAATGTATACATCCCAGCTCTCTGGCCAGGTGGGGTGCCTGAACTGCAAAGTTGCGAACTGTATCTTGGCCCGTACTGGCCCCATAGCAGTGCAATTAGAACTCCTTTTTTTTGGTGACTCCCGCCTAGTTACCCCTAATACTTGTCTTCACTCCTTTCTCGGCCTTTAGGCTAAAAATAGATCAAGTGCACTGTATCTGTTCTGATCAGTTGAGTATCTGATCCGGGCTTGCGTGGGGAAATGAGGGAGAGGAGAGGGGAGGGGGGGGACAACAAACTTGATGGAGTTGCATGTGTGTCACTATTTCTTCTTAATTAGCTGCGGTCGCATTTGCACTAAGTAAGTGACACACACTGTCACACAGGTAACGAAGATTGAGAGGTCTGTACCTGCCACCTGGCAATCAATAGGCGCAACAGGGACATCATCCGGATGATCCGGCGGATGATCCGGGAGCTGACCTTCTATTCTTGTACTTCAAACTTGTGATCGAGCCTGCACACAAGCCTGCAAAGGAGCCTGTAGGAGAGTCTGCAATCAAGCCGGCAGCTGAGCCTGCAGCTGAGCCTGCAACTGCAGCCAACAGGAGCCTGCAGCCGAGGCTGAGGCTATAGCTCAGCGTGTGATCAAGCCTGCAGCCCGAGCCTACGGCCCAGCCTGCAGCTGCGCCTGCACACGGGCCTGCAACGGAGCCTGCAATCGAGCCTGCAGCAGAGCCTACAGTAAAGTCTGTAGCAGAGCCTACAGCCTTGATCGCAGCAGGCTGGGCTGTAGGCTTGAGCAGGCTTGGCTGCAGGCTTGATCAGGCTATAGCACAGCCTGTGATCAAGCCTGCAGCCGAGCCTACGGCCCAGCGTGCAGCTGAGCCTGCACACAGGGCCTACACGGAAGCGTGCAACTGGGCCGGCAGAGTACTATAGAGTCTATAGACTGATTGAACTGAGAATTTTTTTTTTTATTATTATTATTTTTCTAACTACACTTTGTTCTTCTCTCAAATTCTTTTTTGCCTTTCACTAACTCCGTACCACTACTGAGATTTTTTTTTTTTTTGAGGCTTGTAGTAGTTTGCTCACAAATTTTCTCCATCATTGTAGATAAGCGACTCTGGACCCGCTTTCCAGCAGGTGATGCTCCCCATCAATAGATGCCATGGGGGAGCCTCCCGCCGGGTGCTACGGTAGTGGTGTCTGCTCTTTTGACTGTTATCAGCACCACTTGCAGAGAAGGATAATCGAAGTCGGGCGATCGAAACACGGCGAACAAGGGAACCAAGGGCCTCGCCGCAGCGGCCGCACTAGTCTCCAAATGTGGAAAGGTCTAATGAATCCACGGCTAGAACATGGAAAGATACATTGCCATCGTTTTGGTTTCTTTCGTGGATGTGGAGAGTAGTGGCAGCCCCTGCTGAGGCGGCCGATATTTTTTGCTGCATGTCGGGATTGTCGGGTCCTAATCAAAAGATTCTTCATAGAAAAAGGAAAAAATAGAAAAGAAAATTAGAAATAAAAAATCATAATCAGTCTACATCACATCAGATGACAATGTCGGCTGTTCCATTTCTCATTTCCTATTTATACGAGAGCAGATGTACGGTCAGACATGAATTCACAACTTCACATCTGCTGCTGTCTTTTCTTGTCATTCCTCTTCGCATTCTTTCTTCTTTGCGGTACTCTCCCTCTCTTTCTTCTTCTTCTTCTTCTCTCTCTTCCTTCCTCTCTTTCTTCTTCCTCTCTCTTCCTTCCTCTCTTTCTTCTTCCTCTCTCTTCCTTCCTCTCTTTCTTCTTCTTCTCTCTCTTTGCGCATCCCTGGTATTCCCTACTGTGGTCTACTGTCCCTCTCTGCCTTCTTCTTCTTCTTCTTTCTCTTCCTCCGCCTCTTCTTGTCCTTCTTCTTCTTCTTCTTCTTCTTCTTCTTCTTCGTCTTTGTACGCAGCTGAATGGAAGGAATACTCGTGCAATAATCGTGGAATATTCGTCGAAGTTGGATGTTGAAGGGATAACTGCCCGTACGGATTACGATCGTTAATTAATCGAACGGGATCTCTTTTGAATCACTTATTCGCGGAGGCCAGCACGAACCGCCGGTCAGTTGAGACCCGAAATCGGGTCAGTTGACAACGGGATCGGGACAAGTACAGGTGTTCGTCGTTGGACAGAAAGAAGAAGAAGAAGAAGAAGAAGAAGAAGAAGAAGAAGAAGAAGAAGAAGAAGAAGAAGAAATAATACAATGATGATGGCGGCAGGTAGATCTTTTCGGAAATCGACGGCTCCGAGAGGAGGGGTAAGCTATGGTGATCGACTGCGCACCCTTCTCCCGTTGGTGTGTATTGCGATGCTGTTCTTGATTGGGACGTCAGACATGCGACACGTGGCGAGCGAATGTACGTCCCGTGGTGGGGGACCACAGCCTACGTACGAGAAGAAACCGAAGGAGGGGCAGATCGATCGCTCTCTGTACGCTGCTGACGATCGAGCTTGTCTTGTCGGTGCTCTGCGCGAAGCCACCATCGCGGTGCTGGAGGACGACCGGTCGCTGGCCGCCAAGTTCCTCAGGCTGTCGTTCCACGACTGCATGACGAAGAGAGAGCAGGCGACCGGTCGCATCCTGGGGGCGTGCGATGCCTCCATCCTCCTGCCGCGAGAGATCTCCCACCCGGTCAACGACGGCCTACGGGCGGCCGTTCCTCTCATCTCCAAGATCCGACGGTGCGCAGCGCAGGCGTGTAATAATGTGGTCCCCACCAAAGCCGACACGATCGCGGCCGCCGCCGCTGCGTCCATAGCCTGGTCGGGGCTGTGTCATCCAGCTCAGTACGGCTTTACCATCGGTCGTCGCGATCGCGACCCCGAATGCACGGGCGACGACCCGATGACGCTCCCGAGCGCGACCGAGACTCTGGGCTCCGTTCTGGAAAAGCTCAGCGCGTCGGGATCTCTGGATCGCAAGGAATCGACGGTCTTCACGATCGGAAGTCACAGCATCGGATGCTCATCATGCGATAATTTCTCGTTCCGATTGAATAGCCGAACTTGCAGCAGGCCCGCTGACCAGACTTTGGACCCTCGGCGCGCTTGCAAGCTGACAAGGACCTGTCTGCAGTGCGCCGCCGACAAGCAACCGAACATAGTCGCTCCCTTTGACTACATAACTCCTTTCAAACTGGATAATGCCTACTTCAAGATCACCCTGATGAACAAGGGATTGTTGAGGACGGATCACGCCTTCGCACACGACCCCAGAACAGCACCGTACGTGAAGTTCTATGCTCACAACGAGGGCTCCTTTAAGAAAGATTTCATGGAGGTCTTTGTCAAAGTCAGCGTGGTCGGTATCAACCATAGCAAGACCGTCGTTCCAAAAGATTACTACGACTGCAAATCCGGTGGCAAAGGAGCGTTTTCGGCATAGCTTGATTGATTCACGGATTATGGAACGATGACTTAATTGATGGAGTAATTGAGCGATGGATGGAGCAACGGATTGATAAGTTCATGGATTGATTACTTGTACCTACTGTCTATAATCTGCAAACCCAGTGGTCAGTGATCGATTGATTCCCCGATCAATCGGTTGATTGATTGATTGATTGATTCAATTTGATTGATTGATTGATTCAAATTGATTGATTGATTGATTGATTGATTGATTGATTGACCGATTCGTTGATTGATTGATTGGTTGATTGATTGGCGGATCAATTGATGGATGGACGGATGGATTAATAAGCTCATGGATTTTGATGAATTGTCCTATCAATGCAAACCCACTGGCCAGTGATTCGATTCTCGGATCAATCGGTTGATTGATTGATTGATTGATTGATTGATTGATTTGATTAATTGATTGATTGATTGAGTGAGTGAGTGAGTGAGTGAGTGAGTGATCGATCCCGGATCCAATTGGTCTATGGATTGATTGTTGATACTGTTACTGAAAAACCCAGTGCTCAGAGATCGATTCCTGGATCCATGGATTGTGACTGCTTTGGATGGATTGGATTGGATTGGATTGGATTGGATTGGCTGACCAATTGGTGAATAAATTTATGGATTGATTGATTCACAGATTGACAGACTGGCTAATTGGTTGGTTCGCCGTCTGAAGTGAAGATCCATTCCATGGATGGGCGAATTGATTAAGGTCTCCGCTTTCGAAGTAATCGTCGACCAACATGACGGATCGATGATCAAATCCCATGATTTCGATAATTGATTGATTTGATTAGTTACCAATTGATTGATTGATTGATTGATTGATTGATTTTATTGATTGCGGGAATTAAAAAGCCGTAGGTGAGTAATCGATGTAGAAGGGTAAGCTATGTACTATACAACTGTACTCTACTGTAGGGATCCTGTGAGACTGATTAATCATCATCAATAATCAAGATTGCTGCGTCTTCGCCTGTTTTGATTGAAAAACTTATAAAACAACGCACGATCGGAGGTCTTTTACCGTCTGTAGACTCTGTACTACGCAAGTGTTAAAAAAAAAAAAAAAAAAAAAAAAAAAAGCGTAGTCCACGGATGCCTTCAGACTGGTTAGTTACCATTGACTCGCCACTTACTCATCGCCTGTTTGTCCTCGTTTGGATTAGCAAACTGGTTAGTTACCATTGACTCGCCATTTACTCATCGCCTGTATGTCCTCGTTTGCCTTTCTGTTCTGACGAGCATCAGTTAATGTCCCCGGACTATTGCGCGTGAAAGACTTTACTCAACCCAGCTATATAGTCTGCTGGCTTCATAATTGCGCAGGGGCCTTGCTACTCTTCTCCCTATCATTTCCAAGGGAAACGGAGAAATAGTCCAAACTACACTCAGTGAAACAGTTTTCACCTTTGGCAGTAGCCGATGCAGATCCCAGGGGTCGATCCCTTGACCTCAGCTTACCTGTGTACAGTATCTGCACAGTTCCCTGGAGTTGAACCCGTGACCTGCACGATAGCCAGTGGTAAGTAG